TAAATGACTGAAAATTTTTACTTACAGGAAGTAATTTGCATTCCAGGTTTTTAAACTTGGTATTTCCACAATCACAGCGAAAATTTCTGAAAAAAAGGAGAAATCATAATTTCAACTTATTTTAAAAATTTGATGTCTTACACTTTATGTTCAGGAGTCAGGTTACAGTCATCCTCCATTTTTTGGAAAGTGGGCTTGGTTACTATGACCTGATCCCTAAACAAAAGTAATAAGAGAAAAATTGTATAATCCCCCAAAATAAAAAGAGGTCAAAAAGAATGCAGACATAAGTAAAATTACTACAGATAAAGATCACTTGCCTGACCCCAAGTATATAAATTTAAACAAATGTAAAGCAATTTGTACTTTAACTGTAATTTTAAAAAGTGTTCCCCAAAACTAACCACTATTAGAAAATCAATACTGATTACATTGCTTCATTAGCACACATCAGCTTTAATCGCTTTTACGCCTTTAAAAGATCAGCTTTAAAAGAAAAAGTTGGGGCTGGGGGAAATAGAGCTGAGACTCCAAAGTGTACCTCTTTGGATTGGTGTTAACATTTAAGAACTAATCCAGATATTCTGATGTTCTCTGACCAACTTTACCTTTTTGTATATAGCTCAAATAGTTTATGACTTCCATGGCATTCATAACTGCATGCTAAACAAATTCCCGCTGGTTCTTCTCCTTCTGGAGTACATGTGCTGCAGGCATATAATGCTTGTCTTTTTACGGAGCCCTGTAAGATACACAAAGAGGAAGAAGAAAATCACCAAGAAGCCAAATTCATTCAAAAGTCGTACAGCTGGCACTAAACACTCTTTGTGATCTACATAATAAATGAAATTTGATTCAAAACCCATAGAAATCTGTAGTTAAGATCTTCCCATACCAACTTATAAGCCTATTTTTTAAAAGTACAACAGTATCATAAAAGAGGGTATAGTTCAAAAGAGAAAGCATGTACAGTGGAAAGAGCACAAGCTCTGGAGCAAAAGGACCTGAGTTCAAATCTTGCCTCTGACACTAACTACCAACGCAACCTTGGACGTGACACCTTACTTTTCTTGGCTTCAGTATCCTCACCTACAAAATGAAGGCCTTAGTCTAGATGTCTTCTGAAGTTACTTTCAACTTTAGATCTATGACCATATGATCTCCATATATATACCATACAGTATATTGTGATTTTAGTATGCCTTTCATTTAGGCCCAAGACTACCTTCTAACCATGTAGTCTACTCTCTTTCTGTTTCAGTCAAATCTATCCTTTTACTATTTTTAAATATGCTTTATATTGGCCAGCTTCTGTATCTTATGAGTTGTGTCACAAATCATTATGATTGGCTTCCCATTTAGAAAGCCCTTTCCTACCCATCAAAATTCATTCTTCAAGGTCCAGCCCAAATCCTACCTCCTCAGTAAAACTTTCCTTGACCCCTTCAACATGAAATTCTCTCTTCATCTTCAGTCCTAAAATTCACTATCTGTTTTGCTCATTTTGCACTTACCACGATTACCTAATATTTCCAGTCATTTTTTTGGTGCGTACATGCCCCAGTTCAGTCCTTAACTTCAAAAATCCATGAAGAACCATGTCTTAAACACATCTGCATAACATTGATGTTCAATAAAAGTATTTTATTAACTAAACTACACAAAAAATGAGCTGTTGTGGTCAATTAAAATCCTGCCAAAAAATATTTGTTCCAACCTTTTTTAAAACTCTAAAATGAATTAGGGAACTGCTCTGCTTCAATAATTATAATCTGTGATAGATAATTGAATATTTGATGATTGAGAATCTTTCAATGCCTCATTATTACGATGCAGGGGTTGTGTAGAATCCATACTTGCCCCTGGACATATCTTGAAATACACTTTTTGTATTAAAATGTTGATAGTACTCCCTTTATGGCTTAAATCTTTCCTAAAAATGGGAAATGGCAAAATAAATTTAGCTAATTGTTAGTTAGGTTCTGCTTAATCAACATTTTACAATGTTGGCATTTTTGAGAACATGAAGATAATTAATCATCATATCTTCATCTCGGAAAATGCTTGGTCTATTTTAGATATTTAAATCTGAAAGACAATTTACTTTATGGAAGAATAATGCCTTCTCCCCTCTCTTCTCTACCAGTCAGGAAGTTACTGAACAGGTTTTTGCCTACCCACCTGCTACTAATCAAGATTAAAAAAAAAAAATCACCTTTGAGGTGTTTTAGCACAGCCCTCTTCTCATAAAAGGATAACAGGTAAGATCAAGGCCTGAAGTATACATCCTCTAAGTTAAAAGGAAAGTATTGCCTCCAAATCCAAAAGGGGTCTTGATACTGAGAATTATTACTCAATACTGCTTGCTGCAGCTTACACATTTCTCAATGGCTGTTGTATTATGATCTCAGTCCACATCAAATAATGTCTTTAAATCTCTTTCTCTCTACACTCCACTAAGCTTTCTGGTCCTGGGTAGTCATCTCTACCAATTTTAATTCTTCTAGTTAGTGTCTTTACTCCACTTCTATGTACTCCTGGAAAGTAAAGGGGAATCCCTTTAACCTTAATTCTTTTGTAGCAGTCCAATGTCAAATCTGCTCTGCAAATTTGCTCTCTCTCTCTCTCTCTCTCTCTCTCTCTCTCTGTCTGCCAATTACCTGCTCTCCTGGTTCCTGTCTAATGTTTACAGGAACTGTGTTAAGGCAGAGCTTCTACAAATGACTCATTTTCACAAAATACTACATTACATCTATAAAACTACAGACAGGGGACATCCAAGAGCCTCACATACCAGAAAAGCCCCAACTATGGGTCTGGATATTTGCCTGCCAAGATTTTACTAACCATTCTTGCTCTCCCAAGGATAGGGAAATGGGATGAAGGAGTGGGGGTGGGGGCCAGGATAAAAGACCTGAACCAAAAGAGCAGAAAATTATGAGGGGAGGAAAGGGCGAAGGAGGAAAGGAAGGTGTGGAATTTTTAATGACTCAAAGAATAAGAAATATCAGGAAGACAGGATCCCAGCTAAGATGACGAAGACTAAGGGCTGGGAGGTCCAGAGGGAAGGATAACTGGGAGGAAAGGCAGTGGAGAAGATAATGTTGAGGGGTATGATACTGAGTGCAGAGGATAGGCCACCCTACCTATAAAAGGGAATGGGGTGGGTGAATGACAAATAGAAGAAGCCTCGGGCAGGGAACAGAAGTCCTGAGGAGGAATGATAGGCCAAAAATGGGGAGGGGGGATCCAGAAAGGAAATGAAGGTATCCTGAGAAGTATGGTAGGGGATGCTAGGAAGAGAGAACGGACTAAGAATGGGGGAATCTCTGTGCATTTTCACCGGCTATTCCCTCAAGTCTCAAGACTTCAAGCTAAAATAACCACCTTCTGCAAAATGCCTCTCCTGATCCCCTTAATCCTTGTGTCTTCCCCAGAGATTATACTTTATCCGCTATTTATCTTATTTGTGCTGTACACGGCAGTTTACAAATTGTTGTCTCAGGTCAACAAGCATTTATTAAGTGCCTACTATGTTCCAGGCATTGTGCTCTGGAGCAAAGGCTTCAGAAGCCTACCCTTAGCTTAGAAGGTCAAAAGCAATCTGATTGTGTGATGTCCTTGGAGGGCAAGGACCATGGTGTTTTTAGTCTTTCCTTCATTTCCTCAGCTTTGTACAGCAACACCGAAGCTTAGTAAATGCTTGTAGACTATCGGATCTCTAGGAGAGAGGATGGCTGAAGAAGACCCTGAAAGGCAGAAAAGCCTTTAAAAGAGAAAGAAGGGTGGTCTAGCCCTTCTTAAGTGGAAGCGAAGACAGGCTGGAAATGGGAGAGACAAGTTAAGAATGAGGGAGACAAGCTGGGAATGGAGGAGACAGGATAAGAATGAGGGGGCCGTTCTGGGAATGGGAGTCGAGTTGGAATGGGAAACAAGTTAGGAATGGGGAGAGCATGCTAGGAATCAGGTAGACAGATTGGTAAAAGCGGAACACTGGGAATGAGAAGTTGGGTTGGGAATGGGGGTGGGTTGGAAATTGGGGAAACAGATTGGGAATGGGAGGGTCGGATCGGAAATAGAAGGGTCAGAGTGGGAATGAGGGAGACAGACTGGGAAGGGCGGGGCAGGTTGGGAATGGGGGGGTCGGGTTGGGAATTGGGGAGGGGAACCCCGCAGACCAAGGTGGGCTGAGAAGGGCGGAGGACTCTGAAGGAGGGGGAAGAGCAGGTCAAGCACGGGGATGGAGACTCCCTAAAGGGGAGGCGAATAAGCAAAGAATGGGGGGTGTGGATCTCCGTGAAGAGAACAGGCTGGGAAAGAGAGATTCCCGAGGCGGAGAGAACGGGCCAAGAACAGGCGCGTGGAGAACGGGGCGAGAATGGGAGGATCCAGGGGAGGGGGAGCACAGGCCGGGGCCCGAAGGAGCCCAGACTGAGCCCCGGGGGACGGCCACGAAGGCAGAGGGCGGGGAGCTGGGGGACCTCGCGCGGGAGGGGGCCGTGAACCCCTAATCTCGGCCCCTGCCCCCCCCGCCTACCTGCGAGTAAGAGCACTTCTCCGAGTCGCTGCCGCCCAGCACCGCACAGGCCTCATTCTCCAGTTCTTCATCCTCCTCCAACACATCCACCAACGATACCACGGGCTCCTGCTCGGCCGGCCGACCCTCACCCCGCTCGGCTCCCGCCATACTCAACTGTCAGCCGGCAGGCCCGGGGCTCAACATCGGGGGCGGCGGGAAAACTGCGCGCGAGGGGTGTAGCCGGAGACGGCGGAACCCCGCCCCTCCGCCTCCCGAAACCAATCAAAGCGTCGGAAGGCGAAGGCGGGGAACTGGTAGGAGAGCGTAGGCGCCCACTGCGGAAACGGAAGCTCAGGGGAGGTGCAGAATGCGCAGGCTTTTTTTTTTTCTCCTCCTTGTTGTAGTCGCTTATCCCCTCCCCTTTTCCTCTTCCCCCCTCCCTAACCCTCCCGGCTCCCCTCCCTCTTGCGCCTGCGGAGGCTGCAGTGGCAGCGGCCGCTTCCGTTTCCGGGTCGCCCTGGTGGCGGGCTGTTGAAGAACTGTCGTTATGGAGCTTCTGGGAGAGTTTGTGGGACGAGACGGGAAGCAGCAGCGGCTCCGAATAACTTGCGAGGTGCCGAGTGAGTCTGGTCGCTTCCAGGGACTGCTTTCGGGATTGGCGCAGATGAGGGAGCAGGTGACCGAGCTCCTCAAAACTGTGGAAGGAAAGGAGGTACAAGACCCGGCGGCGGCTGGAGGCTCCACCTCAGCTTCGGAGGGTGAGCCATGACGGCGGCCGCGGCCGCTCTGTTGCCCTGGCAACGGCGGGGGCGGGGGTCCTGGGCGGGGCACTTTGTGCTGGGGGCGGGGGGGGGAGAAGGGCGAGGTGGAGTGGAGGAGGCGGCAGATGGCGGGCTGAGCCCCAGACTGTGGCCCGCCCCGAAGGGTGCTTGGTCGGAGTTGTTGACCTCTGAGGACGGAGTCTGGTGGGAAGTGGTTGCCCAAGGACAGAAGGATGGGCTTAGAATTCTAACTTAAAAATGTTGGAGGGGCCCTTCCATCCTTGAGTCCTCTGTTTTCCCTACACTTACCTAATGTTGCATTTACATTTAGTCGGGTTTTTTGTCCTTTGAGGCCTGTACGTCCATTCTGTGAAAAAGAAAATAGTATAAGAAAGGAAAAAATATTAGTAAACATTTATGTAGCGTGTTTTCAGGTTTCCTTAAAAGTTTTCCTTAGGACAACCCTGGGAAGTCGGAAGTGCCAGTATTATCCCTGGGTTGGTTTTTTTTTTTTGGTGAGGCAAGGGGGGTTAAGGTAACCGGGGTTACCCACGGCCACACAACTAGTGAGTGTTACGTGTCTGAGGCCGGATATGAACTCAGGTCCTGACTCCAAGGCCTGAGGAGCTCTATCCACTGGGCCAATAAGCTGAGGTTCAGAAAGGTTAAATTGTTTGCCCGAGGTCACACAGCTAGTAGGTGGCAGAGAGTACTCAAACCCTACTCTTTTGACACCAAATCCTTTGCTCTTTCCACTATACAAAGTTGCTTTACTGAATATCCTCTGTGGTACAGTGTAGTACTTTTGAGCATATACTATGGTGAAATGTACATAGAGCATCTACTATGGTGAAGTGTAGCATTCAGAGCTTCTGCTATGGTGCAAGGTGGTTTTTACAGCATCCAAGTACTTCCCACCACACAAAACTGCTTTTCAGAGCATCTATTAGGGTGTGTGTACTTAGAACATCTACTATGGTGAAGTGTAGATGCTGTAAGTACAACACTGTACCTTAGTGGATGCTCAGTAAAGCTACTTTGTATGGTGAGAAGAAGAGTAAGTACTAGACTGGATGTAGCTGGAAGGTACTTTCAAAGTTATCCAGCTAGGAAAGGGATCTAGAGAACAGAAGTGACATGTCTAAGTTGACACTGGTAGTAGCAGAGCCAGGATTCAAATCCAAGTCTTCTGATTCTCAATCCAGGCTGTTTCCAGTACAACACCAAAATACTAAAAAACAAACAAAAAAAACTTTTAAAAATTCATACTATTGTTAGTGTTGGCACACAGATCCTTCCATGCCCTGGTAGACAGTTTTACAAGTTGTTCTGGTGGGGGGGAGGAATTCATACAGTGATAAATCTCTCTGAATGTAGCAAGGCTGGCCCATCCACGAGGGGTCTTTGCCAAGCCTTTATCTGAAATCTTTCCTGCTTGTTAGCAGGTGCCTGTGAGGATAGTTTTTAAGAAATGAAAGTCAGTGAGTTCAAATCCAGCCTCAGACACATTATACTTACTAGCTATGTGACCCTGAGCAAGTCACTTAACCCCAATTGCCTCACTAAAAAAAAAAAAGAAAAAGAAATGAAGGTCACTTCCATACCAAGATGAGGCAGAAGAGAAAGACTTAAGTGGAAGTGTCTTGCATATTTCAATGGGCAAATAAATGGGCAAACTGAGGCACCAATCCTTAAATTGTTTACCCATGTCATATAGGCACTGTACTTTGTGGTTGGATCTAGTACCCAAGTTGAACTGTCTGGTCATTTTCTTTGCCTGCTGCCAGTAGTACTTATTATTTACTTAGAGACAGGTAGGTGGTTTAGAGTGACTACCTCAGACATTTACTGCTATGTCACCTTGGGTAAGTCATTCCTCTCAACTTCAGTTTTCTCATCTGTAAAAGTGGGATAATAATAGCACTTATATCACAGGGTTGCTGTGAGGATCAAGTGAGATCATATATATATTATATTAGTTAGGTGCTAGCTAGTACCACTTATTATTAGCATTATTTCTCACACAGGTATATAAACCACTTAAAAATATATGGGGGCAGCTAGGTGGCCCAGTGGATAGAGCACTGGCCCTGGACTCAGGAGGACCTGAGTTCAATCCAGCACAGACACTTGCCACTTACTAGCAGTGTGACCCTGGGCAAGTCACTTAACCCCATTGCCTAGCCCTTCCCCCCAAAAAAGATATATATGTGTTTGTATGTATATGTGTGTGTGTGTGTGTATGGAATGATTATGGTGCTCTTCCCTACTTGTATCCCTTATCCTCACATCTTTAAATCTGAATTCTTAAATTCAGTGAGATACTTGATTAAGCAGATTTATCATCCTCTGTGTCTGTTAGTACTTGGACTTACCATGCTATTTGGAAGTTGGAAGTATAAGAACATAAAAGTCCATCTCTTTTTCCATGCATTATAGAATATGCTTATAGAGGATGCTTATAGAATGACATGTGGCCAAGTAAGTTTTTGTTTTTATGGATGGACAGGTAAATTTTTATTCTAGTTGTATATTTTGAACAGTAATATAGGTTGAAGTTTTCTTTCATCAGATGAGCCTCATCCCTTTTGACTGCAATTTAAGTTTGTTGAAGGATAGACCATAAAGTTTTATGGTCTTAGTACCTCAAAGATATTTAGTAATATTACAGTAATTATTAAATTACATATTTAGTAATATTACTGTTAGGGCAGCTAAGTGGTACATTGGATATAGTATCTGGCCTGGAGTCAGGAAGACTCATCTTTCTGAATTCAAATGTGGCCTCAGACCCTTACTACCTGTGTGACCCTGGGCCAGTAACTAAACCTTGTTTGCCTCAGTTCCCCATCTGTAAAATGAGCTGGAGAAGGAAATGGCAAACCACTCCAGTATCTCTGCCAAGAAAAGCACAAATGGGGTCATTAAGATTTGTACACTACCGAAAAACAAATCAATAATAGTACTGTAGCTTGATTAGCTCTCTTAGGGCATGATACTGAGAGCAAGATGGTAGTTTCCATCCTTGTATAAACCAGTTAGTTTGGCTCATGAACGAGGTGGGAAGCAGCTATGATTCATAGCTTCAAACTCTATTCCTAACTTCTTGAAATAGCATGCTGTTGGCTGATTGATCCTAAGGGCAAGAACCACTACCCCACTTGAAAAATCAGAAAAAAAAACCTCTATCAACAACAGGTTAAGAGCAGTGTTTAAAATTCAGAAATAGACTTAAATATTGCTGGATTATTTACCTCATAAATTTAAAAGAAGTACATTTAATACCACAAAAGTAATAACGTATGTGTATGTGTGTTTTTACCCCTGAAGTGAAATAATTCCATTATAGTACATTATAAAATGCTTTGTAATTTTAAAAGTACTTTATGTATATTCTCTCCTTTAGTCTTATTATCAACCCCTTTAGCTATCCTTTAAAAATATTGTCATACAACAAATATTTATTATTTTAAAAGGTGAAGACGATGGGGCTGAAGATGAAGAAAGTAACACTCATAGCAAAATTTACTCACCTGGACCACCTGCAAAACGGATAAAACCCTTACATTTTGATAATAGTCTTGAATCTAGTTTTGGAGTAAAAAACTTTGGCTAAATCTTGATATAAATATTTGGCATATATTGAGATTTTGCGAAATTTGTACTTGGATTTTGGAAATGCATGTGTTTTTACCTTCTTGGCCACTCTGTCAAAGAAAAATGTTTCTTTTGTGTATTGCCAACCAAAAAAAAATATGATGGATGTTTGGAAATAAAAGCAGTCCTCTTGGGTGAGGATATCATTCAATCAGCAAGCATTTATTAAGCACCTGTTAGACGCTGGTCACTGAGGATACAAAAATTAAACAGTTTCTTCCCTTAAGGAGTTTACATTCTGCCAAAGAGAGATAAGATGAACACCGATGCAGAAGTACAAGATACTGTAACATCTGGAGCTGGAAAGAACTCCGGAGGCCATCTGAGCCAACTTCTTGGCTCAGATTTTACAGATCTGAAGCCTAGGGGAATTAAGCAGCTTGCCCAAGTCATACACACACCTGCAGGGTTTGAACCCAGGTCTTCTGATTCCAGAACCATTTCTCATAACATTATACCACATTGCCTCCACATATACAAAATAGTTTTGAGGGAAAGAAAAATAGACTAACAACTGGGGATATATAAGGAAAGGCCTCTTGAAGGAGGTGGACCTTAAGCTGTACCTTAAAGGTGAGCTAAAGGTTCAAGATGGAGAGCTGTTAAAGAAAAGTCCTCCTGGCACAGGGACTGATAGCTTGTGCAAAGAGAGAGAAGATGACATGTTGCTTTTAGGGAAGAAAAAGTAGGCCAGTTTAGCTAAAATAAAGGATACGAGAGTGGGGAGTCAAATGATCTGCCTGCAAAGTGAGGTTGGATTCATATTGTGAAGCACTTTAATATAAATTTTAAATTAAAAAAACCTGACAATATATTTAACATGGTTTGCAAAATCATCCCAAGTAGCAACTTAACAATTTTAAATATTTTTTTCTAAAATAACATGTTAAATTTGAATAATGTTCCATGGTGACATATAAATATAAGTTATAACCAGACCCTATCCTAATGTTGTGAAATACCCAGAGACCCTGTAATGTTTTTGCTTGTCATCACATTTGTGCAGAACCAATTAGTGACGTTAGGGAGGGTATATTTGTATCTTCTAGCTGTTGCTTTTGTTATGTATAAAGAACATGTTATGTCATGATTTGTGAGTGATCACATTGCAAAGAGCTAAGCTTGTGCACGCTTTAAGCTTAACTACTAAATATAGGAATGACAGGACTTTAGAAGACTGAGTGGAAGGAAAAGGGAACTGAGAAATGAAGAAAAGGGGAAACCCTTGGATGACACCCCAAGAAAATCCTGTGCTCCTTATTGACTTCATCTTGTGATTAAATACTTCTATAAAATTGCTTTTAGGAGAGACACACACACACACACACACAAGTGTACAGGGTATAGCTGTTCTACCATCACACATACACACACACACACACACATACACAGTATAGCTCTTCTACCATTACTTCTTAGCTTCCAGAGATATAAGCATTACTTTATAACTACCTGAATTGTGGATTTTCTAAGAGCTCATTCGTTAAGAAACATCAAGCTAGTACTATATTGTAAAAGCCTGCTGGGCTGTTATTATCTGTGCCAAAATTTTATAAATTAAAAAAGCGCAAATGAAGTCTTTGGAATATAGATGTGTGAACTGTTTTCATTTTGTGTGTATGTGTTAAACACAACTAAGGAATAAACACTATATTACACTTTTTCAAACTATCAGTTCCAGATTTAACATAATCAATACTTTAATACTGGGGATTGAATAAAGCATCTTAATGTGACTTTGTGAAATAAAAAACTTGTCTGTTAAGTCTGATGGCAAAAGGAATTTGCCTACCATTTTCCTATTAGGTTTAGTTATGGCAGTCATGCAGATTAATGCAAAGCAAATATGAAGGAATTAAATGAAATTTAAAGAATTTTAGGATTGAAAACTAAATGATTACATAAGATGACCACCAGCCCTTATTTTACATGTCAGGAAAACAAGCCATTTTCTTGGTCAAAGACACCAAAACAAGGTGTCTTTTTTGTGTTAGAACAATACATTCGTCTATTAAGTACATTTTTCCTCCTTCATCTTACAGATTGAGAGTTGGAATATCATTGGTCAGTCTAGGTGGGAGTGGTAGAGCAACCAAATAATTTAAGCTACTATACCTGTTGTTTTTCTGATAGGAAATGTGAGTAGCCAGGTGAGTTGACATGTTCTGAAATCTATAGCCAAAGAACAGATAAAGCTGCTGGAATCACATACTTTTTTTCACTCGTCAGGTTTGTTTTTCTTGGCACTTTTACCAGCTACTAAGTGTTCTTACATAATAATCAAAATTATAATAATTATAAAAAGCCCTTTCTAAATAGTTCAGAATATTTTATTTTTTTAGAAATTGTGGTTAGACTTATTTTAAAAGAATGAAAAGGTAACCTAATTATATTGAAACATAATGAAACATTCTTCATTGCAAGTAATCTTTTAACATAAAAAAGTATGTCCTCATTCTCACATAATTAAAATATATATTTCACTATATTTAAAGTTGAATGTACAAATTTATTTCTGTAAATTCTAGTGTTCTGACTTTGTCTAGTGCATGTGTTTGAAGGCTACATTTCACTAAAGGTTATAGACACACTTATTAGGTGCTTGGAATACAAATGGAAGCAAAAAAAAATAACCTTCAAGGAACTTATAATGGGGGAAAACGCATGAAAGGGAGTGGAAAAAAAGAGGAGGAGGTTGTACCTGGAGGTATGGGACAAAGTCTGGGGAGCCAGGAGTGGAACAAGAGCCTGAAATGGTGCCCCCAAACAGGAACCTACAAATCAGAGGAGGGAGCTGAAGGGATGAAGGCATCTCCAGAGTAAGAATACTGGTGGTGAAGAGGTAGAAAATTCTGGAGTCAGGATCTGAACCAGGAAAGAAGCAAAATAATATTTGTGTTTATCACCCAGTATTCTGTATAATTTAAATGCACAGTTTCTAGATAAATTTTATAAAACTCAAGTAAGCGATAAAAATGGATTTGATGGAAAATGGAAGCAATGACCCAGATTTTTTTTTTTAGCCTTTTATTTCCTAAGTTTGCTACTCTGAAAACATAAACTTTGGCCACAGCTGAAAGGGAAAAAGTTGATCTCTGAAATAGCAAGAACTTTTTTTTTCAGATTTTATTAATATTTTGGTTTTTTATATCAGGCATGTCCCAACATCCCATCCATAGGACTCTTCCCCTACAACAAAGAAATCAAATCTTCCAGTACTGAAACTGACAAGTATGCAGTGTTCCTCACCTGTAGCTTATGACCTCTCTGAGAGGAAGGAATGTAAACCATGATGAGTTAAATGCAAATTAGATTTTTAAAAGTAAGTTAATTTGATATAAAGAATTTGTTCTTCAGTGAATATAATACTGTGATCTGGCACCAGGAATACTTTTATAGTTTTATGTAGTTCATAGTTGCTTGGCTAGAATATTTGTTTATGAATTTAAAACCTTTTAGAAAAAGATGACTTAGATAAACAGTCATGAAAACAATACATACAGTGGCTACAGTAATGTAAATGGAAACAACCAATAACTATGAAAATGAGTTTTTCAAAGTGTAGGCTTGGACTCGAAGGAGATATGAAATGATACCTCCCAGAGGTAAGGATGATGGAGGCTGACGGGGGAATCCGTTGGTGTGATACGTGGCTTATACTGTCAGATTATTTTGCTGTTTTGACTAGTTTTGCTAATTTTTTTCTCTTTTTGGAAAAATATTCTTGGCTATATGGGATGGCTGTCTAGGAGGGGTGAGGGAGGAGGATGCAGGGAAAAATTTAGGCTATTGATACAATTTTTATTTTAAAAAAGATGACTTACGAAGAAAATTGTTCCTGAAAAAATGTGAAACATAATACCAAGAATAAGTTCAAACAATTTTCATCTTTTGAGAACAATTCACCAAGTAATTATTAAAGGGACTACTATGTGCAAGGCATTTAGGCAGTCATTGGATAATACAATGACAAAAATGGAAAAGGGCTTCTGCCCTCAGAAAGCTTATACTTCAGTGAGATATAACATATAAAGGTAAATACAAGATAATTTGAGGATATGGAAAGACCATTTAGGACTAGGGAGTTGGGAAAAGTTTTGTGTAGAAGTTGGCACTTAAACTGACTCTTGAAGGAAGCCGCAGATTCTATTCATAAGAGACAATTTGTGGAAAGGCCCAGAAACAGGAAGAGGCTGCCAAGTTTGGGGAACAGCAAGCTGTCTGGTTTGGCTGAAATGTAGTGTGGGATTAATGTGAAATAAATCTAAGCCACAATGGGAGGGGCTTTAAATGTCAAGCTGCAGAGTTTGTTCTTGCCTAAAGACAAAAGGTAGCCACTGAAGATTTCTGAGCAGGAGGTGACATGGTCAGACATGCTTCAGAAAGATTATTTTGACATCTCTGGAGAATGCACTGAAGACACATACCTTCAATTGTTTCCCAAGTAAGAGTTCAAAAACAAGTACAAAACAAAACAAAAAAACCAAAAAAATAACCACCACATTTTCTTTATAAGCTTAAACTATTCTATGAGACTTTGTTAGTATTTGGAATGTGTATAGAATGTACACTTGACTTTTCTTTTACATATTGTCATAAATTAGTGAGAGTAATCCAGAATTCTGCTTTAAGTGTCAGTAGTAAATATCTATACCCCTAAATTACCAAGTTTATATTTTAGGGAAAAAAGGTTTAAATTAACAAGTTACCCAAGAGAGCTGGAAAAGTTATAGAGCATTCAATGTCATTTAAGCATAGGTCAGGAAGAGAACTCAGCTCTTTTGCAAATGTTCATGCCCATTTCATTCATAGAGCAAAACTTGAGAACTCTACTTTTTTTTTCCCTCACCATGTCCTCATGCAGCGTACAGTCTAGAAGAGGGACAACATACAAACATGGAGATTACACAATATTACCTAGGTGCAGGGGTGTAGGACTCTGCTATGTGAGGTGAGAGATGAGGAAGTTATTACCTATGGTGGCAGATCACAGAATGCTTCATGCACATGGTAGCATTTGAGCTGGGCTTTAAAAGATAGATAGGAATACCCCAATTAAAATTTTTCTTTTTAATTTGTGGCATGTCTCCATTCTCTCAGTCCCTACACCTGTGTCCTCCTAGGGCATCATATCTGACTTGCAAAATGTCCTGAAGTGTTGGGCCGCAGAACTAGCAACCCTGTCTATCTGGAATGCGAGGACGTTGGCTACAACCCATAAAATGCAGGGAAGTAGTAGCGATGTTACGTGTCTTTTGAAGGCAATGGCCAATGTAAACTCAACTGCCACTGTTTTCCCCAACTACAATAAACTCTTGCCTTAGTACTTTCTGAACAAATAATGACCAAATGAAGATTTTCATGAATGCTTTCTTGTTTAAAAAAAAAAATGGATCTTATCAAGTTCAGGCTGTGTTGAATTCAGTAGAAGCATCAGATGCATTTAATGCCAAATGGAAATGACCCAGCCAGAGGGAAAATACACAGGCTGTTTCATCAGCCTTTTAAAAACCGATTAAAAGCAACAGTATCTTTGAACTCTGCTACATATTTTATGATTAGAAATGTCTGCACTGGAGGGATAAAAAACTTTGGATCTAATGATAAGAATACACAAACAATAAGAAACTTTCAGCTCAGTGTTTTCCAGAAAAAAGGAGTCCTTCACAATATTTTGGCTTTGTGTATTTGATATCCAACAGGGATCGTCTTATTTTAAGATTGTGCATGTTGCCATTACTCTCAGGACAAAAGTCATTAGTTTTATGCAAACTACTAAGGAAATGTAGGTCCAAAATGATGTTTCCAAAATTTTCTTAAGGACAAAAAGCATATCATACTTTTGATTAAATAATAGTTCTATCAGTAGGAAATGGCATATCTGGAATTAAAATTTGGGAACTTTTGATTCTTGGTCCTTTGTTCTTTCTGCTCTGCCACATGGCTTTGTGAGAAGTAGAGACAGAAATTGAAATACAAAAATACCAGTAACACTCAGCAAGCTATACTACTCATTCAGGGACAGCTTTTGACCCACATCAGCCAATAAGACTGGCAGCTTCCCAGATCTTGTCTTTGTGTTCACAAACTATTCCAAGTGTAAAACTAATTGACAAGGGCTTCTTTTTAGTCTCCAGGAAAACCTTAATCATCCTCATATATTTGAAAACAAGGCTTGCAGTTCCCTTGCAAGCATTACTTAGTGATAATTATTTTTGTGTACCTACGTATAGATGGAAGGCTGGAATATGTAATTGTATAAAAGTAACTCGAAAAGAGAAAATTGGGGCGCCTAACGATGTAATAGATCGATGCTGGGCCTATAGTCAGGTAGACCTGAGTTCAAATACTGCCTCAGACTTTAATAGCTGTATGACCTTAGGCAAATTACTTTGCCTCTACCTACTTCAGTTTTCTCATCTGTAAAATGGGGATAATAATGGTACCTACCTCCCAGGGTTGTTGTGAGGATCAAATAAGGTAATATTTATATAGGGCTTAGTACAGTGCCTGGTACATAGTATGTGTTGTGTTATATAAATGCTAGTTATTAAATTGCAGTTTCTTAATTTGTAAATTACTGCTG